TTAATAAACTGCTCAGGTATTATGTAGGTAAACAATAAGGCCATGCATAAAATATCTTTGTTTTGCAAGCTGAAAGATCCATTTGGAAGTTATGTTGTTCGCATAATTGGTAGCGTCGTAATCAACCTAAAACGATGTATCAATGGTCAACTATGTCTCGTCTTTTTTAATTGACAATTGTGATTAGTGCTAGGTCTTAAGCTTGACATTAATAGCCTTGAAATTTTACTGATCCTGACACATACTTTAGGGTCTTGTTTTTGAGGTGGTGTGAAAGCATCTAACTGCTGTTAAACTGCTTAAGCTTTTGGCCAGTTTTGTGGTGTTCCCCTTTACTGCATTTCACTGGGATTTGGATTTTTACAATTTACAATGAGGAATTTTGTTAGGTTGGGGCAATGCTGATGGTAGAGAGATTGTTTTACAAGGTTTTTTCTTGAATAGGATTGGTGCAGTGGTCATATGGGTTTTTTGCCCTCCCAAAAATGAATAACAAATGTTATCTCCAAATTAATAAGAACTAGAGCAAGGAAAAGTGGAAAAAATCATACACGTGTAGATGAACTTCAGGGATAGAGATTCCCAATACTAAGGTAGAAAATAAAAGAAGTTACTTATGGTTTAATACCTTTTAGCATATAAAAGTGGAAAACAGATATTGAGAACATTGTGAAATATGCACAGGAAAGTGTAATTTCTTCTAATGCAGGTTCTTTGCGAGTGCATGGTAAATAGCTGGATATAAGCGTTCAACCATGAAACTGGTGTTCTTGGTTGATTTCTGGACAACATTGCAAAAACTTATATTGCCACTTGTCAAATCCATTTCAGTTCTCGCTATATATTGTCCTTTTTCTTTATACTGGAAATTTGTATTCTGCATGTTACTAAATATCAATGGAGCTCTCCTGTTATGTGCATTAGTATCAATTGGTTTGGTCTATTGCATGCTGAAGACTATTTGAGAGGGGGAGAGAGGGAGGCATCTGGATTTTCTTTGTGGGAGGGGAACTTCCCTTCAAAAGCTACACTAAGCTAATGCCCCAGTCAAGCTGACAGCCTGTCATGAAGTGGGTTTGGAGTCTTTTGCAATACTTTGTATTTTTGGAGTCCGTCCTGGAGAAATGAGAATTTGCTATAAACCCATTGCTTTTTTGAACAGAGTGTAATTCGAATGAGAATTTGAGTTTTACCTATTATCTTAGTTCTATTTTTTTCAATTTTATTTGTGTTTTTACTAATTCTAGTAGAACTTAATCTTCAAACGACTTTGTTGATGCTAATACTTGTTATAGTTACTGTATAAGGCTGCTAAACAGTTGCATTGCAGTAGTGATAAATTGGGTTTGTTTGGATAGGAGGTTATTTGAAATAATTACTGTAGCATTTTTGTGATGTGATGTATGTGAGATAAAAAAGGTCGTTGGAAATTGTGTGTATGATGCAAGCAAAACAAAATTTGAGATTTTTATTTGAAAGTCTTGCAATCCAAACACCCATTATATTTCATGGTTCCTGACATACGATTTTTGGTTCTAGGGATATGCTAATATGATCTAGATCAGTGTTTCAAGCACAATGTTTCTTGTTCAAGAGTGGATGAGTTCACTAATAATCTAGAATTGTACATGGTCTGTTTCTGTCATGTAATTGTGCACAGTCCATATCTATCCATTTTACAAGTTCTTTTGTGCATATAATTATCGAAAATTTTGTCTATTTGCTGGAGAATGTCATTCTATTGAATAATAATCTTTTATTGGTTCTCTGATGCTTTTTTTTTTTTTTTTTGGGTCCAACTTATTGAATAGGAATAATAGGATTGTGGCTTAGCTGTCATGACACAAGCCAAAATTTTTGCAATTACTTTCTCATATATGCTATTGGTTTCTGAAATTATTCTTATCTTTGTGAGTTATAATCAATTTATTAGCACCTTTAGTACTCATGAGTATTGATAATGTAGTTTTATTCTAAAGTACAACAATTTTTGCAAGTTTAGGATTGGGAGTGGTTATATCAGTGCATGTGGAGGTAATGGCTTTGCTGGTGGAGGTGGCGGAAGAGTATCTGTTGATGTTTTTAGCCACCATGAGGATCCGGAATTTTTGCATATGGTATGATTCATAATATGATTTTCTTGTGGTAAAAGTTTTCCAAGCTGTAAGCCAAACATGATATTGCTCTTTATCCATAATTGTTTGAAGTTTCATTAGTTCTTTCAGTGCTGGAAAATACTATATCTGCAATTTGACTTTTCTTCTGATGTCCACTTTTTTGATTGCTAGATAATCAGTCTCCTTTTTATGCTACTCACCTCTGTAATAATAATGTTGCAGATCTTTCTATCCTTAGTTGCTTTTTTCTAAACGCGGGGCTTTTATTTCTGTCTTAATTATCTAAATTGGATCCTGTTGGCTTTTTCTGTACTATAATTTAGAGTTGAAGCTCAGGATAAATTGAATGCTTGAAGGGCATTATTGAAGGTTGAACCTGTGATATATTTGTTTATAGCTCCATATTTTGCTTATATCCGTTGTGGTAAACCCTAAAAAGGGAGCAATTGGGGAGGCTTTTTCTTCATCCTATTTGTTGACAGCAACAGGTTTCTACACATATGGCCATCTAGTATTTACCAGAGATGACAAGTCTATATTTGTGAGAGGTGAAAAGAGATTAGAGAAGGGGTTCATTTCATTGGAACTTTTGTATAGCCAAATTAATCTGTTGGGAAGTTTTGTCATAAAATTGATGAGGTAACGAGGCTGGGGGGCTATGTTACTCAGACTCTTCACTTTTCCCTGCTGTACCCTATCTGACTCATCATTTTGCACCAGAGTAACCATGTCGGCAGGAGTCAGTAGCCGAGTCCAAGTAACATAGCTTGAGGGATTATCATAGACTCTCTCTCCTTTTTTTGGGAATAATTTTTGTTGCATATACTACTAACCTGTTTGTTGGTAGCTTATTTCGGGCTTTTTTGAAAGCAATGGTCTTCCGTGGTCTGGTTGTAATCTACTGTACATTCTCTGGTCTCTTAGAATTGGCCTTGCTTGGATATGTCATCATCAGCCTGGGCTATGCCTTGAATAGGATAACAAGTGGATGAGAGTTTGTTCCTGTTTTGATCTAAAACATCAAATGAGTACAATAATTTGCTGGTTATTGCCTTAAATTTACCCAGCTTTAAATGTGGAATGTGGATTTAGTGTGCATGCTGAGTTAATTTCTGTTCTTACAGGAGGAAGCAGTCGTGGCTGCCAAGAAAACGCTGGTGCAGCGGGGAGCATTTATGATGCTGTTCCGCGCAGTCTTACTATTGACAATTACAACAAATCTACAGATACAGACACACTTCTTTTGGACTTTCCTCAACCATTTTTGACAAATATCTACATCCAAAATCAGGCCAAGGCCTCTGTTCCCTTGCTTTGGAGTCGTGTTCAGGTCTATAAATTTAGTCTTTCTTACTTTCTTAGTGACATAGTCAGAACCTATTTATTTGTTCAGATTTATCTTAAAACTCTTTTGGATAATAAGGAGACAAATTGACATCAAATAAAAGTGGAAAGTCAAATCAAGCACTAGCGATGTCCATGCCTATGCGTGCCTTGTTCTGTTTGTGATGTGCCTTCTGTGTTAGCAGATCTGAATACTTTCAACTATTATATACTTTGGAACTAATGTAATGTATTGGTTCTCTCATTGGATATTTTGTATGTTGTTCTGCTATTTGTGTCCTTGGCCATGTGTGCCTTACTATATCTGCAGATATGATTATTTTCAGTTATTATTAGCTTTTGGAATTGAAGCTAATGCATTGACTGTCAGTGGATATTCAGTACATTATTCTGCTTTTTTCCATTGAATTATTCAAGTACTTGATGTATCTGTAATTCTTATGTCTTAGGTCCAAGGGCAAATTAGCCTCTTGTCTGGTGGAGAACTGAGCTTTGGATTGGCACATTATTCTATGTCAGAATTTGAAATATTGGCAGAAGAACTGTTAATGAGTGATTCTGTTATTAAGGTAGCGGTAACCTTTTTCTTTTTCATTGGATACTGGCAACATTTTATGTTTTCTTTGTTGTATCATACTGATATGATGAGATGGTGTGTTTCAAATGATTCTCCTGCAATTAATTTTTTGGAAGCATGTTCCTCTACTTTTCTCCCTTTATCTGTTGTTTTTAGACATATATTCTCATTTTTCTCTCTGTGTGGTCGTGTTTCTACTGGTTTAAAGTTCTTGTAGACTTAGCGGGTGCATGCAGTTATAAAATTCTGTGCACTTAATGCAGCATGAATTCTTGTCCATGTTTTTCGTTTCAAGCTCTATTGCAGGACATGCTGCAGTCTACCAGTTCTATGTGGAGTTGTGATATTTCATATAGGCCCTCTTGAGGAAGCTTTAGGTAGTCCCCATCTTTAGTTGTGCAAACTAAGTCAAGGACAGTCCTAAAACTCTAAGTAGACATCCAAGTTGGATGGATGAAGCACTGGCTGACCCATTTTATGGTCACGGTGATGATTGGGTACAGAGTAAGGAAAATTTATGTTTGATGAAGATAAAATAGTTGGAAAAGTGATTTTTCATAATTAAGCCTCAAGTATGTGTTTGTTTATTTCTCATGATCTTCACTGCAGAAATCTTGAAGGAAGTCTATATAGGTAAATGGTTATTTACTTGTGTTTCAGATCATTACAGAGTGACTATGCAACAGAAAAAAATCATAACCATGACAAAATAAATGTGGATGGAGTAGTACAATTCATTCTAGATGTGCTCTTAACATGGGTTTTTTGTTTTAACAATTTGGTTTTTTTCATTATTCTTGAATACAGAAGTTTTTATGCATTGTTTGCAGTGGCCTCTTGTAGGTTGACATGGCCATATTCTTTTTGCAATTTGATCTCGCTAGAATACTTTTATTTAATTTGGTAGGTAGCCTTGTATGATCGCCTTTTTTTGGCCTTTCAGGTTTTTGGGGCTCTCGTATGTCTGTTAAAATGTTTCTGATGTGGAATTCGAGAATGCTAATTGATGGTGAAGGAGATGAAAATGTTGAAACCTCAATGCTTGAAGCTAGTAATCTTATTGTTCTTAAGGTGCTCTAGTTATTCTACTTCAGTTTACTGGTATGCCGTCTTGCTTTGGATCCTCATGACTTGTTTGACCTTTTCTTAATTTCCCTCTTCCTGGCTTCCATAACAGGAGTCATCTATTATTCACTCCAATGCTAATCTAGGGGTGCACGGGCAAGGTTTGTTAAATTTGTCTGGACCAGGAGATTGCATTGAAGCAGAACGCCTGGTTTTGTCGTTGTTTTATAGTATACATGTAAGCAATTTGTGGCATGATATTTCTATTCATTCATTACCTTCAGCATCCATGAGATTGAATATGTTGGATGGTTTTACGTAAAGTTATTTAAAAAAAAAGTAGTGCCTATGGTGAGAACAAGATGTTTGGTTAGATCCAAATACTGCGTGGCTCATTTGTTTGGTTTTAAGCCTTTCAGGTTGCTATTCTACTCTTTTCCCTGGTTTAGTCAAAGTTGGAATTGTATGCTATTTTGTTAGTTTTCTCTCTCTCTCTCTCTCATGCGTTTGTGTATAAACACATGCATGCAAACATCTATCTATGTGACTATGCTCTCTCGCTTAAATACGTGTTTGACTACAAAAAGGTTTCTACTCTTGCATAATTATGCACAATCAAAGTAAGTTGAAGGATGCATTGCTCTTTTTTTTGGTTAAACTATTATATACTGCTAATATCTGTGCTTAACTCTAAAGTTGCATTGTAGTTTTTTCCAGAAGTGTGTACAAAATACTTTATACAATATCAGTTGACTCCTTTGACTTTTCTGTTTCTGGATACAGGTTGGTCCTGGATCTGTTTTACGTGGTCCTTTAGAGAATGCCTCAACTGAAGCTGTGTAAGTTGAATAATTGTTGCATAATATCTCAAATATGCAACTATTTTAATCTATATTTGTGTTGTTCTTTTATAGGACACCAAAGTTGCATTGTGATCAGAATGATTGTCCAGTTGAACTCCTCCATCCACCCGAAGATTGCAATGTGAACTCTTCACTGTCTTTCACTCTTCAGGTGGAGTTTTTCTTGTTCTGCATTCTATTGGGATATAGTTCTTTTCACTTCCGTGAGGTCTCAAGTTGGTTTGTCTCTGCAGATTTGCCGAGTTGAAGATATCCTTGTTGAAGGCCTCGTGATAGGATCTGTTGTTCATTTCCATAGAGCCAGAACTATTAGTGTTCCTTCTTCTGGAACAATAAGCACAACTGGGATGGGTATAATTGCATCTGAGTTCCTTTTTAATTACCATATTCAAAGTGTATCTCCTACCTTGCCATCAGGTGGCCATTATTTAACATTTGAGTGTGATTGGCGTGGCCCTTCGTCATCTGTATTTAGCATGAAAATGAATCTGTTTTCAAAACCTTGCGAATTTGGCATACATGTGGTTTATTATTGTTCCAGGGCCTTACCAGTGATGTTTTTTGTTCCTCAGGTTGCATTGGAGGTGTGGGACAAGGGACATTTTCAGATAGTGGTATTGGCAGTGGTGGTGGGCATGGTGGTAGAGGTGGAATGGGATGCTTCAATAATAGCTGCATTGAGGGGGTATGTCATATGGGGATACTAATTTACCTTGTGAGCTGGGAAGTGGGAGTGGAAATGAAAGCCTAACTAGTGCAAATGCTGGTGGTGGCATTTTAGGTCAGCTCATCTCTCTAAAGTGGACTGTCTTTGGTCCAAATGTTGATGTTGTAGCACTTTGGGAAACTCTTTCATTTTTATTTAAAAAATGAGCCAACAGGAACCAGAAGGTCATACTGCGTTAAAAATTTCAAATTTTGTCTAACCAAATTGGAAGCATGCTGTCAAAAAATGATGACAGTATTTGAATTCTGACTTGTGGGCATAACTGGTTTTCTTGGCTCTTAGCTTCTTGGTATTTAATTGAGTTCAAATTGTGATTGTCTCACTTTGGAGACTAATCTAAGCAATTGTGTGTACTGTTAGAAACATCACATGAGACAATTAATACTTTAATGGATATACTTTGTAAATTTGGGAGATGGTTACCCAAGCATTAAGTGTTCCTTCCAGGAAATCTGTAGTCTCCATATAGCTGAATGAAGAAAGGGGTCTTGTCAGATTTTCCTGCTGCACAGGATGCTTAAACATATTGCTGAACTCAACCTGTTTTTCTAGTCATAGTTTGTTTGGTTCATTGTGTACATCCTAGGACTTTTCTCCCATTAGGAATTAGGTATTTTACTTGCAGCAGCATTGGAGTTAGTTTTGTGTGTTGATCTTGGGTAAGAATTATGCATTAACCTGATAGTTATATTTACAGAAATTTTCATTAACAGAGTTTGAGTAAAATGTATGTTTTGCTTGAATAACAGTGATTTTTTATATTTAAACTATTGTAAAGCTAAAAGTACTTCAGTTTCATTGTCGGCATCTACAGTACATGTTTTTTGGTTTTAGAACTTGCTCATTTTTTCTTGCTGGATTGTATTCTTGTTCTCAATGTTGCAAATTAGTCCATATAACCTTTCAAATGTGTTTCCTATTTAGACCATATTTTGAAAATTACCCAGTGAAGTTTTTTTATTTGTTTTAAATGTTACATTTGTTGTGAACTTTAAGATTCTGATTGTATTTGCTTCTATTACACGGTCTGCTACTGAATCGCAGGGAGGTGGAAAGTACCCATCTCTTTCTTCTTTGAAACCTGGTACTAAAGAAACTAGAAAATAGAGAAATGAATACTTGATACGAGACAAAAGGTAAAAAGAATGTGAGTGATTGAGGCACTTTGTAATTAGTCTATAGGATTAAAGAGAATTTTTTTCTTTGTTTTTCAGTTTAACAGAAAAAAATAAACTGTTACTAGTTCAATGGTTCATTTCGATTCGCACGGTTTTCACCGGATCTTAAATCCAATTAACCCAAAATATGAATCAAACCGCGAACATGATTAATATGCAGTCAAATCAGTCCAACCCGGGTTTCAAAACAATGCATGGAGGGTATCCTATTGATGTCTACAAAGAAAATTGTAGTTTTGATACCAAATGTTTGAGGTACAGTTGATTTTAGTCCTTAAAATTTGAACAAAAGCAAATCTAGTTCTAAATGTTTCAATTTTTAAGCATATTTAGTCTAATTAATTGATTTTGGTAAATTTTTACTAAAATTCGGTCACATAAATAGCACATGTCAATGGTTAAATTATGAAAAAAAAATAGAAAAGAAAGGAAAAAATGTTTGTAACCCATAATCTGTAATTAAATGACACTAATTTTGCACATGCACAGAAGTCATGTCGCTAAAGAGTAAACACTAATTACTCAGCTTGCAACTAATTAGTGTCCTTTGATTACAAATTATGGCCAACAATTTTTTTTTCTTTTTTCTAATTTTTTTCAAAATTTAGCCATTGGTACTTGCTACTGATCGAATTCCAGTAATAATTTGTCAAAACCAGTCAATTGGATTAAATGTATTTAGAAATTGAAATACGGAAAACTTATATTTGCTTTTGTCCAAACTTTAAAAATAGGGAAAATCGTTCTAAACGTTCATCACATTTTACAAGATGACTTTTTTCATCCCTCACTTTTAAAAGTATAATTTTACGTTCCTTACAAATTCACATTGATCAAATTTGGTCTCTACCTAGGTTTCTGACTTGTTTTTTGCTGGAATCCACCACGTGACTTGCATGTAGGGCAAAATTGTCAAATTAAATTTTTACGTAATTTGATTCATAGTCCCTCATATTTCACAAAATGAATTTTTTCGTCCCTAACATTTTACAAAATGAATTGTTTCGTTCCTCACATTTCAAAAAATGAATTTTCCATCCCTCACATTTTTCAAAATGAATTTTTTCATCCCTCATTGATCATGTGTATGAATAGCTTTTTTTCTATAAACCCCCGTATATGTCGATTTGATTTTACCTGAACAATATGAATAACATGTAATTTATCTCTATTGGATTTCATCTAAACATGCTAATCATAGTTATACACATGCTATTCAATAGATATATATATGGGTTTAAAACTAATAATTTTGTTTGAAACCGATATCTATATTTATATGATTTCATCATTTGAACCTATTTAATATTTGTGATATTTCTCTTTTGGTAATAATTTATTTATTGAATTGTATAATAAGGTCATCTAATTAATGGGTCCTAACTCGAATTCTATAATTGTACTAACAAATTTCAGTTTAAATATGAAATTTCTACTCGACACTTTTAAGACCAACAGTTGAATTACTTGCCTTATGATTGTCTTAAAATTTGAAAATGCCAATCACTTATTTCTTTTTGTTCATACTTTTCTTTTGTTTATTTTTTCTGTCCAAATTTAATTCGATATAAACACTCGATAATATTTAGGATTAAATGTCTTCTTTATTTTCAAATTTCGAGTAAAAGAAAATGAATATAAGTGAAAAACTAATAATTTTTTTAAACCCATATATATATTTATTTGATTTCACTTAAGCAGTACGAATAGTATGTAATATATCTCTATTTGATTTCACATGCTATTCGTACTATTTAGGTGAAATCAAATAGATATATACATAAATTTAAAAAAAATTATTCACACACATGATCAATAAAAGATGAAAAAATTCATTTTAAAAAATGTGAATGATGAAAAAAGTTTATTTTGTGAAATGTAAGGGACGAAAAAATGTGTTTTATGAAATGTGAGGGATTATAAATCGAATTATATAAAATTTGATTTGACAATTTTGCCCTTAAAATATGATCACGTGCAAGGCACGTGGTAAATTCCGACAAAAAATTAGTCGGAAACCTAAGTAGGAACCAAATTTGACCAATGTGAATATGTAAGGGACGTAAAATTATATTTTTAAAAATGAGTGACGAAAAAAGTTATTTTGGAAAATGTGAGGGATGTTTTGAACGATTTTCCCTTAAAAATAATACCCTCAATATTTGATACCAAAATGCAATTTTCTCAATGTCTAAATCCTCAACGGGAAAATGAATACAGCGTCTTCTCAAGTGTTGAAGTTTTGCCAAATTGATATCTAGTCTTATTCCTATGCTTTTGAGGAGTGTATGAGTGCCAAAAAAAAAAAAAAAACTAATAGATATACACTACTGTCTTCTCAACTCTCAAGTGTTGAAGCTTTGCCACATTAATCTTTAGTCTTATTATATTTTTTGCACCATTAAAATCTTTACATTAGAAGAAACAAATGACACCAAAAAGATAAGATATGGCAGCCCAAAAAGTCACACCATTTTTTTGTCAAGGAAATCAAGAGAGAACATGGATTTATTCGAATAGAAGATTATTTAGAAAAAAAAAATAGAATTATACTGTAAGACTTTTTTTGTTTAATGTATTTGAAATTAAAAAAAAAGATTGAAAATATAAAGAAATAATTATAAAATATATTCAATGATGAAACGAAAAGCTATTTTGGACAAACTGACCAATTTAAAGAAACTAATTATTATTTGAATTCATTTTATCATTAGTATGGCCTTAAGAAAATCAATTCATTAGAAAAAGGGGAAAAAAAGAAACAAATGAAATTAGAGCAAATAAAATGCGTTGGGAGTTGAGACCCGCAAACTGCCAAAGTCAATAATGAACCGAGACGCTCCCCGGCTCCTTCCCTAATAAAAACAAAATCTAAAACTCAAAGCTGAAAACAAGAAAAACAAAAAGAAATTAGAAAAAAAAAGGGGATAGTCATTAGCCACGTGCTATCAACGTAGATATGACCGTTGGAGATCTCTCCAGATTCAAAAATAAAATTCATCCACAATTGATTTCTCCTGAATTCGTCCGCCTCCGCCCCTTTCTTTCTCTCTCTTTTCTTTCCAATCTCTGCAATTTTTTCCATTCTTTTCGCTTCCTCTCTCTCATATGGCGATCGCCACTGAGGCTCAGCAAGAGCACAAGGTAAAAATTTTTTCTTTTTGTCTAAAAAGAATTGAGAATCAGTAAACAGCAAATTTTTTTTTTGGTTCCTTCTTGGAAATCTGAATCCGCATTTGGGAATTTTTGCACGAGATTTGTGAATGTGTTATTTTTTGCTTTTATAAGGGCTCATGAAGTTAGGGATTTGGTTGTAGGATATTCTTGGACTAATTTGGTGCTTTGGTTATGGTATGAACAAAGGTTTATTGATTGTATCGCCTAAACCTAGGTTTAGTTCAAACAGCTTCGGAAGCAAATTTCTCTCTCTCTCTTTTTATTTTTTCCATTTTTCGTAAACATTTTTGTAGTTCCAGTCTCCTATTATTTTCATGTGGATTTCTAGGTGTTCTTTAATTCCTGTTCGTGTATGTATTTGATGAAAATGCAAGGTCCGTCGAATAAAAAAAATGGATCTTGATTTCTCTTTTTTTTTTTGGGGAATTTAAACTACTGTAGCTCTGTGGAAATTAGGGTTCATTGGCGATCGACTTGAAATTAGAACATTACGATGACGTTCAAGGCAAAGAGAATGTGTTTACCAAATTGGATTCTTTTGGGGGTTTCAATGTCCTTTTCGCTGGTTAGTTTTTGAAGTTTTTTGTTTTTTGTTTTTTTTTTGGTAGGGTTCTTCAGAGGGATCGACAGCAGTGGAGAAAAAGAGGTGGACTTTGAATGACTTCGACATTGGGAAGCCTCTAGGCAGAGGAAAGTTTGGTCATGTATATCTTGCTAGGGAAAAGAGGGTGAGTTGCTGATGCTTTCGGTTTTATTTAAACATGGGTAACTTACTGATCTTTATTAGAGAACGCATAAAGTTGCATTTCAGATGCTTTAACCTTTAATAAGTTGTTACATGTCTGAGTCAGTATCGGATTAGCTGTGCTTCTGTTTTTGCACCATAATTATGTTTTGTCCTGCTGTCATTCGTATATTTTATTGATGACAAGGGGAAAAGAGGAAAACAAATGGCTTCTGGGTGTGTTCGTTTGAGTATCTAGAATCCATTACAGTTTAATATCATAACCCTCTTTTTCTTTTTCTTTTTTCCTGGAATTCAAACAGAGCAATCATATTGTGGCACTGAAGGTACTATTCAAAAGCCAGCTGAAACAATCTCAAGTTGAACACCAGCTCCGCCGTGAAGTTGAAATACAGAGTCACCTTCGGCATCCCAATATTCTAAGACTATATGGCTACTTCTATGATCAGGTACAATTCACTCTTGAGAACATTTTGTTTCAGGTGGAAATTGAACAGAAGGTTAATTTGTTTAAGAACTATTGCAGAAACGAGTTTATTTGATTCTGGAGTATGCTGCTAAGG